ACACTTTCACTTCTGCTTCAAGGGGCTGAGGCAGGAATTCCCCCACACAGCATCTTCCCTGGGGACGGGCACTGGCCTGGCAGTGCAGCAGACGGGTCTCTATCGAGACCCTCACTTGTGAAGGTGGGTTTTCAGAGCTGGCAGGAAAGGATGGGGTTATGTAAATTGCTGGGCTACATGGAAGGAAGAACGCTCCATCCCTGTCTCTGTCTTTATACAGAACAAAATGTCCACGTTGTTAAAATACCCAGACAGACAAAGGGAGGAACTATAAATACACTGGGAGAAAAGTGATTTTATTTTTAAAAAATAATTGTAGAAAAAGAAGATTTTTAAAGTATGATGTTAGCTTAAGATACCATAGTGGAAAAGATGAATAAATTTGCACATCCAAGAAATATTTATGTATGGCAAATATGTATTAAGTTAAAAGCTAAATTGGAACAACATTTCTAACTCAATGGATATATGTTGTTGTTCAGTTGCTAAGGCATGTCTGATTCTTTGTGACCCCATGGACTGCAGCACACCAGGCTTCCCTGTCTGTCACCATCTCCCAGAGTTTGCTCAGGTGCATGTCCATTGAGTTGGTGATGTCATCCAACCGTCTCATCCTCTGTTGTCCCCTTCTCCTCCTGCCTTTAATCTTTCCCAGCATCAGGGTCTTTTCCAGTGAGTCAGTTCTTTGCATCAGGTGGCCAAAGGATTGGAGCTTCAGTTTTAGTATCAGTCCTTTCAGTGAATATTCAGGGTTGATTTCCTTTAGGATCGACTGGCTTGATCTCCTTGCAGTCCAAGGGACTCTCAACAGTCTTTTCTCGCACCACAGTTTGAAGGCATCAGTTCTTTTATGCTCAGCCTTCTTTATGATCCAATCCTCATGTCCATACATACCTACTTGGAAAAACCATAACTTTGACTGTATGGACCTTTGTCAGCAAAATGATGTCTTTGCTTTTTAATACAACATCTAGGTTTGCCCTAGCTTTTCTTCCAAGGAGGATATATCTACTCTTGTATATGTATATGTATACATGCATACATAGTATTCCAATATATTAAAGAAAGATTTATATGCTATATAAAGAGAACTCATAAATGTATAAGAAAAATACCAACTCAATAGAAAAATGGATAGTGTGGGAATAAGTAATTCCTAGGGAAAGAAAAAAGCATGCTTAATCTCATTAATAGAGAAGAACAAATTATAAGAAAATACAAATTGCTTCTTCATCTGATAGAGATTTTAAAAAATGGTAATGCCTAATACTGTAACTTCTAGAAATTTTAACAAAACATCAGTAACGCCTGATACTGCTAACGGTATGAGAAACAGGGACTTTTTATTCCCTTTTTCGTTAGAGGTGATGGGAACGGACACTTTTTGGAAGTGGAACTTGGCAGTATCATTCGAAAATGCTTTAGGCTGCATTTAACCTGACAGCTTCACTTTGGGGAGTTTGCCTTGTGGATGTGGCTGTACAGGCAGGATGCGCGAAAGGAGATGGGTGGGTACCGCACAGCCAGCCTGCCTCTGTTCGCAGGAAAGGCTTCTCATGAGACTCTGTGAGCGGAGAGAGTATAGCTTCTTTTGTGTTAAAATCAACCAGATCGACAGTCCAGGTTTGATGCATGACACAAATGCTCAGGGCCGTTGCACTAGGATGACCCAGAGGGATGGGATGGGGAGGGAGGTGAGAGGGGGGTTCAGGATGGGGAACACATGTAAATCCATGGCTGATGCATATCAATGTATGACAAAAACTACTACAATATTATAAAGTAATTAGCCTCCAACTAATATAAATAAATGAAAAATAATAATAATAAAATCAAAAAAAATAAACCAGGCGGGTGCTTAATTAACAACATCTCCATGGGATTTACATGCAAGGGAGTGTTCCCAAGTGTCAAACAGGAGAGGTCTGGGAAACACGTCTGGGGTGGTCGGGGGAGGAGATGAAACTGGCCGGGCCCTGGCACCTTTCACTCGTATAATCTACACTGTTTCCTGTTTAAAATAATGAGCATATGTTCCTTATATAATCTATACTTAAAGTCTTTATTTGCCTTTTATTGAAAACCCATCCCGTTGAGGAGCAAACACTCTGTTATGAATTAGAAGACGTTCCTCTGTGCAGACCTACTGTGCCCATGCTCTGAGGCTCAGAATCCAGAGACCAAGTCCCCTGTAGGGCGTTATGGAAAACAGTGACTGTTCAGCTTTGTTCTCATTAGATTTTTTTGTTCTCGTTTAGAAAAAGTGAAGTCCTGTCTTTTAAAAAGATGGTATTCTCTTTGACAAAGAGGCCAACCACACACACACAAAGTATCTTCATATTTCTTAAATTGCCTTGTTATTACTGCTGTTATTATGTCAGTATTTTTCCCCATGTTTATTTATGCCTCTCGGTAAGACTAATTCTTTCTCTGTTTCAGACTTTTCCCAAAGGGGATATTATCGGTTTTCAGATCAAGAAATCCCATGTGTCCGTGCTGTCCACTCCAGGGTGCTGCGTTTCCCCTCGTGTCCACCCTTGGCAGCTGGTCCACACCCAGGGCTGGAGGAGGGTGTTCTAGGGCACAGAACAGGCATTCTGAGGGTGGGCAGTGCGTGCATGAACATGGGCTGTGGCCAGAGAAGGCTGTGCAGAGAAAGCTGCACAGGAATTCAGACAGACTTCCTCCGGGAGATCACTGACCCATGGGGCTGGCTGAGAGGTTTTAGCTCCTAAGATGTCACAGGGCAGCCAGGTCAGCAAAGGCCACATACAGCCTGTGGCCAACTTGAAATCAGATTGCATTCCAACAGTGTGTAAGCATGACTGAACACTGTGTGTGTGTGTGTGTGTGTGTGTGTGTGTGTGTGTGTGTATGTGTGTGTACTTGAAGAAACAGAACTCCGTGGCATTCCATGGAAAGGCATCGGGTCCTTGCTCTTCTGTCTGATTTGCTCACTATGGAAGGAGGTGTTCCCGGCCCCCTGAGCTCTAGCATTGCAGAGTGGGTCTTCTGTCTAACTGGGTGATGGGTTTGGGGTAAGAAGGATGGAGGAGTTGGTCTGTCTGATGGGATCTCAGACCCTCGTCCCCAGCCTGGGCAGGAATAAGAAGCCCTGCCTGACACAGCCCACTGCTCCGTGCCCAGGCCTGGGCCATGCCTGTGGTGGAAACAGAGACCTTGCTTCCTTGGGCACTTGATTCTTTTGGAACCACTCCAAAGATGGGGTGGCTAGACCGAGGCAGCAGCATGAATTTTGATGAGATTGGGTGTTTTCGGGTGGTATGGCCATAGAGGGCACCATCGTGAATCCTGGGTCTCTTGGCCACATGCCGTGATGGTGCTGGAATATGGCTGCCCCTTCCTAGCAGCCCAGCCCCCATCCCCAGCACAGTGGCATTGAGATCCATCCCGCACCCCCAGCACTTGGGCATTACTGGGCACTATGCCCCACAAGTCTTGAAAGTTACCACCTGGAAAGAACCCTTGCCTTGAAGGAGGGATGAGCTCGTGCTAGAAAAACTGTCTGACCAGGTTCTGACTGGGTCCCCAGGGAGCAAGGGCTTCAGGGCTCAGACACCACACCTCCCAAGCTGCTGCTCCCAGAGCAAGAGTGAGTCCTTGAACATCACCGACAGGATTCCCGTCCTTCCAGGAGGACATCCTCAGCTGTAGGTGGGAGATAGCCCTAGCCTGTTAAGATGTGACAGTGCATTTGGAAGGACACTTTCCATCCCGGAAGGATGGAAGGAGGTGCCTGCAGAGTGCTGGAATGGGACAGTGCCCACCGTCCTCGGGATTTCCAGGGTCCCTCTGAGTAGTTGGGCTTCCTTGGTGGCTCAGATGGTAAAGAGTCTGCCTGCGGTGCAGGAGACCAGGGTTTAGTCCCTGGGTTGGGAAGATCCCCTGCAGAAGGGAACGGCAACCCACTCCAGTATTCTTGCCTGGGAAATCCCATGGACAGAGGAGCCTGGTGGGCTACAGTCCACGGGGTCGCAAAGAGTCAGACATGACTGAGTGACTTTCACATCTGAGGAGTTTACTTGTCGTCTGCACGTTGGCTCAGAGGTTGTACACTCTTGTGTGTACCATTGCACTCAGCGTTTCCCATTACTGCACTGTCTGGGTGCAGCTGGCTGTCGTGGGAGCTTTCTGGAAGTACTGTTTCTGCCCTCAGAGAGCACAAGCTACCTGTGTTTTTCCTCTCTTGCCAGCGTTCCCAGCCCTGTGGGGCGGCTTTGCCCTGGCTTTGCACTCAGACAGCTTTTCAAACAGGCCAGTTCACCGGCCAACAGGACTTGGGTTTCAGGGCTTAGCCTGTTATAATTCAAAATGTAAGCTCAGGAAAGTAATGGGCATGTGGCAGAACAATGGTAATCAGGAGTTTCTAGTGACGTTTCTGGGAGGCCCCTGCACAGGGCAGGGAGGCGGGAAGTGAATTCGCTGGGAAGCGCGCACGTGTTCACGGCCACAGTCACTGCCCGGAAGCGGCTCGGCTGAGCCGAAACCGGTTGTCACCAGGCCGACCACACTCCCTGCTGCTCCCTGTTCTCTATGTTTCCTCTGGAGGCTGAAATAAGTCTTTGTTACCATATCTATGGCTGATTCATGTTGAGCTTTGACAGAAAATAATGAAATTCTGTATAACATTTATCCTTCAATAAAAAATAAATTAAAAAAAAAGACAGCCAATCATAGAAGGCATGTTTATGTATACAACCCTGAAATAGATACAGTAAACCATCATTAAGTGAAAAAAGCAAGTAGATATTCTGAAGATTCTTGGGGGGAAGGTGTTCTCAACCTTGGTGCTAGGTTGGAATTGGTGGTTCTTGGCTTAGCATGTGTCCGTGATGTAGGAACAGTGCAGTCCCCATATTGAGACAAGACGCGCACGTGGGAAAAGCGTGTACTTGCACACGGAGACTTTGAAGGACTGGCACTCAGCTGTAGACACAAGAGTCCCTGTCGTGAGACATCTTTCTCTTGTCGGTTTGCAGTTTAACTCCGCAGCCAAGCAGCTGATCGAGTGGGACCAACCCCCCGGGCCAGCGGTTGCGGCGGGCGAGGGCACCCCCGCCACCACCCCAAGCAGCACGGCCCCCAAACAGCCAGATGGCAAGAAGAACACCAAGAAGCGGCACTCGTTCACCTCGCTGAGCATGGCCAGCAAGGCGTCGCAGGCCGCCCAGCAGCGCCACTCCATGGAGATCAGCCCCCCGGTCCTCATCAGCTCCAGCAACCCCGCAGCCGCGGCACGCATCGGCGAGCTGGCCGGGCTCTCCTGCAGCGCGCCCTCTCAGGTACGGGCCGCCGCAGAGCTCTAAGGGGCATGAGTCCTAGCAGCACAGACTTAGCTGTGAAGACCGGCCATGTGCTGGCCAACCCACCTTGGCAGCGCCTTGTCCCGGGGAACTGAAAGTTCCTTCAGGCCCCCTGGGAACTCATTCAGAGCCTGTCTTTGTCCTGAGCATCTTCTTCCTAACTGTTGGGACTGAGGCAACTAGGTTTAGGATTAAGTTCTTGTTACACAAAGCAGCAGTTTTGGTGTGACACTGTTCCCTGGAGAGCAAGGTCACAGGCAGTCACCCTCCTCCCACCTTTAACAGTGGAAGAAGGACGGCCCCTCTGGGCAGGAGGCACTCTCCTCCAGCTGTCTGCAGTCACACTGGGGCGCAGCAGCAGTGAAATTCATCCCGTAACTGAACACAGGCACGAAGGGACCTGAATAACTCCGTTTCTCCCTAGTGAATTCGTCTCAGGTAGTGCTGTGGATAAGACACCTTTGGACACAGGTCGTTTGGTTAGGCATTGTTCCCTGAAGGGTTTTGTAAACAGTTGCCTGCAGTCCGTCAGCACATCTGGGTAGCTATGTTTTAATTACGGGTCCCCACGGGAAGGTCAGGTCCTGAGACGTGATCTGAAGATGGAACCATGTGCGTTAAGTGTGTGACGTAGGTTCAGTGTGCTGGCGGACAGGTGAGCATCCAGAGTGCCCCCCTGAACAGGATCCTTGGGGAGGTGCTGATGGGCTGGCTCACCGTGCGCCAGGCAGGTCCCAGCCACACCCACGTGAGGCAGTGGCCGTGGGATCCTACACGTGAGGTGTAGGACCAGTGTTTATCAAGTGACTCCTTGGCGTCTGACACATGTGATGCCCTCCGAACATTTGGGCTCAGTAACCTGAACGGGACTCTGCCTTGCCCCAGTAACAGACACTACAGGTTTTGTGTGTTTCATTGTGACTTGGCTTCCCCAGGTTGAGCTGGTCTCGTCTGTTTTGTTAGGTGTGTCTTCCTTGTATTGATTCCTGTTTCCTTGGCAGGTTCACATAAGTACCACCGGCCTGATTGTGACCCCACCCCCCAGCAGCCCCGTGACCACCGGCCCCGCATTCACGTTCCCGGCGGAGGCCCCTTACCCAGCCACCCTGGCAGTGAGTATAACCCTCCCCTCCACTCACCCACCCCTGCCTGTTGGCCTGGCCCCTCCACCCTGCTGACACTTACTGAGGGTGAAGGAGGTCTCTATCCTTCACCTCTGTCTCTTAATTTTAGCAAAAAATTACATAGGCTCAGGCCTGCAGCCGGCACCTTATTTTAGCAGTGGAGGTGGGTGGCCTGAGGTGACAGAAGCTCTTTCAGGGTTCATTAAAGTTCAGCCTGGTTTTTTGCAGGCTTATTACCCTTTGCTTCTGTCAGGTTTCTGGTCGGGCTGATTTATTCAGGGACTGAGGAGGCTGGACTCCCCAGGCTGGGTGGTGCCTGGGTCCCCAGAGCATGGATTCTTGGCTCTGATCTCATTTCCACTCTGGGTCCCTGGTCTCCTGTTGGTCTGTGTGGTCGGGGTGCCACGGGGCTCTCGGATGAGTGATTCTCCCCACAAGCCCGCAGCCTGCAGATGCAATCTGACTCGGGGGGACACCCTAGCGGGGAAAACAAATAGGAGGGTCAGGGCAGTCGTGGGAGGCTGATACAAAGAGGAACCCCAAGGGGAGAAAGCTGAAAGAGCAGAGACAAGGAACGCGACCCTGGGAAGCAGAAAGCCAGGATCCAAGGTTTGCGCTTCCTGAGCTTGCAGGTGAACTGTGGGGAACGAGCGTCTCGCGTCTAGGCCACGACCTTGTTGCATGTTCAGACTCTTTCTTCCAGTGTGAGGGGAGTGAGGAGAGACGAGATCCCTGACTCCCCTCTCCCAGGGGGACCCCACCCTCCACCCACCTCAGAGTCTCTGCTAGCTGTGCTGCCCGGGGACGCTGTGGCCAGCGGTGGGGTCCTGACTCCCCTCTCCCAGGGCCCCCGCCCTCCGCCTGCCTCACAGAGTCTCGGCCGGCTATGTTGCCCAGGGACGCTGTGGCCAGCAACGGGGTCAGGCCTGGGGCAGGGAACCAGCCCCGTTGCGTGTGAGTGATGCGGCTGAGAGGTCAGGCAGCCTCCTTGGGCCTCTGTGTCCCCTCCTGTAAGACGAAAGGCATCCTGTCTGCCCCAGGGAGGTGGCACCTCCTGGGCCTGGTGGGGGGACTGTGACAGCTGCCCATCACCTTCTGTCAGCGCCATGGCAGCTGTGACGTGCCCGCCGCTTTGCTCAGATCCTGGGGTCTGGCTCATCGTTAGGGTCCTCTCTGTTCTCCGCACAGGGGTGGCGAGGCTTCCCAGGGGCTGATTTGTGTTCAGGCTGTGGACTTTGTATGTTGTGAAGATGGAAGACCGAAGGCCAGACCTGCATCCATCCCAGGCCAGGACCTCACTGCATGTTGTTGGCTCCATCTACCCGTGTTTTCCTCATTTCCTTTTGCCTCATTTTTCTTTTATTTATCATGTCTTGATGTATTTTATGAGTAGTTGGAAGCTGACTTTGAAGTAAGGTGGGCTATAAATAAATGTAGGATTGGTATCTAGCTGGCAGACACTAGTACACTAGAGACTAGTGTAGACTTTTCAAAGCTTTCTGTAGAGTTAAGGAAGCATGTTCCTGTATTTAAATAGAAGTTAATAAGTTCCAATTAGCATTCAAGCCGTTTTTTGTTAATGTTTCTAGAATAATTACAGCTTCCTTGATACAACTGTGTAGGGTGGGAGAAGTTGCATTGATTCCTTTGGGGAAAAGGGGGAGTCAGGTAACTTTTATGGAAAGGTGGTTTCCCTGAGGTTCCATTGACCCTGGGTGCTTCACCCAGAATCAGGTTTCCCAGTCCTCCTGCCCTCTCAACCCCAGAGAAGACCCTGTCTGTCCATCCTTCCTTCCCACCCACCCCAGTACCTTCACATGCTGTTGGAATTTCCATTTCCAAATGACTACTTCATGTGGCAAAATTCTAACTTGATTTCTTAAGGGAAAAATGGCCGATTTTTCTGATCGTAGAAGAATTAATTAGTGGAAAGATGTAGAGTTGGCTGTGCTTCAGCCCTTGTGGGCTGATTATTTTACGATAAGGGAATGGCCAGTTGCTCTTAGCTGGGTGCACACTAGGGCATCCTGGGCACCAGTCCCAAGAGAGCACGAACCCACAAAATTAATTTACACTCAGTCACTTCTTCCCAGGGTCATATCAGAGAGCCTGAGTGTTCAGCAAGAGAATTTATTAGCAGTGTGTCTCTGCCAGTTCCGCTTAATGGAAAACTAATTATAAGCAGACCCACGGCCTCTTGTCCCAGGAGACGCCTGGCTGTCAGAGCCCAGAGTCGGCAAGCAGGAGTGCTGGATTTAATGTGTTAGGTTTAAGTGGGAAAATCTCTGTAACAGGTGCCCTCTGAATCTTCCATCAACCTGGCGAGTGTCCAGTGTAAAATGTGAGATCTTCCCAAGACCTAGAGTGCAGTCTCAGCAAGAGCAGGTGGTGTGATGGGAAGGACACCGCCCTTTTCCTGGTGTGGATTTTGGGTGCTGAGGGCCACGGCTGGACCAGGAGTGATCATCGTTTCTGGCACTTCTTCACAAGTTGTAACTTTTTAATCTCTTAGGCAGAATGAACTTGTGAGCATATTGTCCTAAATGTCTCACATGTAATGGTTTAAATGTTAAATATCTAACATTAGAAACAACACTGGTATTCCCTGTAATTCAGACATGGACTGTTCACAGCAGGGCGGGTTTCCTCTGCCCAGTTCCCTGGGGAGGAGGGTGCAGATCTCCTGTGTCCCCTGCACCCCAGCAGGGGAACTTGTGAAACAAGGGAGGGGTGACCCCCGGGGCCGGCCAGGAGGGTCAGTCACAAGATGGCACAGGGCAGCCGGGGCAGCGAAGGCCACATGCAGCTCGTGGCGAACTTGAAATCAGATTGCATTCCAACTGTGTGTAAGTACCACTAAACCGTGTGTGGGTGTGTGTGTGTACCTAAAAGTAAATGATGTCAGCTTCCCAGAACAGCCAAGATGTACTTGGCCATTGTCGCCCATGGTGGAGGGTCCAGAGGGTCAGGGCAGGGCCCTGGATGTAGGGGCGGGACCGTCACGCTTGGCAGTTGGAGAGGCAGAAGTGGCACCTTTGGAATTGGCAGGATGTGGACCAACTTCACAGTGACCGCAGAGAAGGGCTCAGCATCTTGGGGACCGAGGTCTGCTGACCTGGATCGGACTGTCCGGAAGGCAGTGGGAGCACAGGAGGTTTTCTCATTCCCGAAGACCACGCTGAGCACCTGCGCCTCCCGGGGGCAGAGCCAGGTGCTGGCAGCACGCGGACAGTGAGGCAGGGTGTGGCTCCACAGCCGCGTGAATCCTAACCACCAGAGCTTGCCCCCGAGCCTCCACTCCTGGGCGCCAGAGCTGTGTTGCTGAGAGCTCCGTGGACAGCACGTGGCCACATGCATCATTTCTCTCCTCGTGTGTCAGAGCTGGAACCATGTATCCACAGCTGTGAGAGGAGGTCCATTCCCAGAGAGAATTAATTAATCTTCCTAATTACCAGATCCTTAATTACACCTCCCCTTCAGGCACCATCTTCCAAGCATCTGTTTCTAGCATTTTAAGTACTTTCATTTTTTTTCTTTTTTTTTGTAGCTGTGCCTATGACTGACTGGCTTGATTCTGCTAGGTATCCAGATGAGACAAAAGCTCACTTCCCATCTTCTTAACTTTACTGAATCCTGATGCCTGTGTTTTTTTAATCACTAGTATCAGTGTTTCTATTTTTCTACTTCCTACTCATTGTTCAAAAAAGGCAAGATACTCAGTTGCACACACACTGCTGTGTGCAAGGGGTTGATGCTGCAGGAATTAGTGACACCACTGCCCCGAGGGGATGACCGGTCGCCATCCCTCTATTGGCCGAGCAGCTGAGTTCACCGTACAAGCAGAGCGTTTACAGAGGTTGAAAGTGGATTCATTGGAATCAGATGTTTAGGAAGGATGGAATTGGGGGATGTTTAGTGGTATTTGCTCAGAGGACCCAGAAATGCCCAGTCTTATGCTGGCAGTCACCTTCTACCCCAGAAGGAGAGGGGTATGCACACATAAAGGACAGTCAGGAAGAAAATGGACCCTTAATGTAGCCTGGAAGAGAGTGGATATGTGTCTATGTAAGGCTGAATCACTGCTGTGGACAAGAGACTGACACAACATTGTAAATCAGCTATCCTCCAATAAAAAAGTTAATTAAAGAAAGAGAGGACGCATCGTTTACAATCAGAACCCTGAGCTCCAAGCAGAGTGCTTTCCTGATCAGCGGCCTGTAGCCCTCACCCATGGTTAAGACCTCGTGGAGCTCAGCGCCTGGGCACCGCCATGCTGGTTGCTGGAAGGGGAGAGGGCAGGGAGGCGCCAGTGAGGAGGGGCCTACAGCCTGGCCTTGAACTCTTGCTCACTGTCTCATGGCCCGACGGTAGCCTGGGCCCAGCCACCTGGACAGGGCGCTTTGTTCTTGGAGGGAAACTGAGGGCGGCCCGCAGGGGCTGAGTGGGGACTGGAGTCTGCACGGCGTTTCTGACACTAGCCCTATGCTGCCTCCTTGTCCCAAGATCAGTGAGTGGGGAACACAGTCTGGATATGGCGGACCTGACCGTTTCCCGTCAGCTGACCCCTGAGCCCTGATTTTAGGGAGCATCCTCATGGCCTCCAGACATCAGTGCCGGTAGCGGAGGGTCTGGACCTGCAGAAGCACAAGCAGAACCTCATCTCAGTGACCACGAGACCACGGCTAGTCCCCTGCGTTGGATCCCGGAGGCCTGGCCACAGCCTCCCGAGCCTCAGCCGTTCCTCACCACTCAGTGGAAGCAGGCCAGCTGCAGAAGGCCCCGGCGAGGGGGAGGCTGAGGTTCCTGTGGGACGGCTCACAGCAGGTTCCTCCCGGGCATCTTTGTCCTCGGAGTCTTTCAGTGTGGGCTGTTCACCAGCACCCGTGGGGCCTCCTGGCCAGCCCAGCCTTGGATGTGCCAGGGTCCTGGCATCTGACCAGCCTCACAGGACAGCCACGTCAGGGAATCCGGTTGTGATGTCTGCTCCGTGTGCTTATCCTCCAACACACGCACACACACATGCATGTTTTCCTGAAGATATGCAGCCCAGTGCTGGGGTATGCCAGATGTCAAGTGAGTCCTAACTTAGGCTTTGTAAAATTCATACACACCAAACATTTCCTTTCTATACTTACTAACTATAGGAGATGATCTTTTCTTCAGTTCAGTTCATTCGCTATGTAGTGTCCAACTCTTCGTGACCCCCATGGACTGCAGCACACCAGGGTTCCCTGTCCTTCACCATCTCCTGAAGCTTGCTCAAACTCATGTCCGTTGAGTCGATGATGCCATCCAACCATCTCATAGTCTGTCACCTTCTACCTTCAGTCTTTCCCACTCTCAGGGTCTTTTCCAATGAGTCAGCTCCTCCCGTCTGGTGGCCAAAGTACTGGAGCTTCAGCATCAGTCCTTCCAATGAATATTCAGGGTTGATGTCCTTTAGGATTGTCTGGTTTGACCTCCTTGCAGTCAAAGGGACTCTCAAGAGTCTTCTTCAGCACCACAGTTGGAAAACATCAGTTCTTCTGCACTCAGCTTTCTTTAGGGTCCGACTCTCGTGACCTCCGCTTACATTTCGTTAGCGTGATGTGGCTGTGTTTGTCAGGCCTGTGGGTCTCCTTCTCTCTTTCTGCTTCTCCTAGGGTCAGTGAGTGCAGGCTCTACTGACGTGAAGGTGCAGTTTCCCTCCCCCTTTGCCAGTGGAATTCCGCTCAGAGCCGAGTGCGCCCTTGACTCTGAGTCCTTCCAGGGGCAGGTGGCCTGAATTCCTTTTGTCCACTCATCGCCTGCGCCTCCGCGGCCACACAGCTGTGAGGTGGGGCCTGGAGAGACCCAGAGGAGGCAGCTCAGTGGGACCTCAGGCCCTGCCGAGCTGCTGTGTGCAGTGGCCTGCGGGCCCGCCTGGCTCACGTGCGCTAAGTCTCCTGCCAGGGTTGTTTCTGTCACTTTGTCCTGAGACCAGCAGCTCAGGTGCTCGGCCTTTTCCTGGTTAAGGGTCGTGAGGGCTCCAGGCCCCGTGAGTGCCCTCCTGGAGTCACAGCACAGCCTGTTGTGTGACTGTCCGCCTGGCCTTGCCTGCCGTGGGAGCGCCATCAGTGCATTTGTCCTGCCTCGGCCACAGCGTGGGGAAAGTCTTCTCTGTTGTAGGAAAATGGAACATAATGTGCGCAACAGTTGCAGCGTGCATCTAGAAACTTGAGGTCCTTCTCTCCAGTATTTCTGGAACCGTGTGACTTAACAGGCAGATGAAGTAACTGCTGATGGAGTGTCAGACTTTTTTTCCAGACAACAGGAACCAGTTGGTTTTCTTTGTGTTCAGAAACCATGGGGTTTTTCTTCCGCTATTCTGACATGGAGACACCACATGCCCTGCCCAAGTTGCAGTCTTCAGCCTCCTTATTTCTCCTTTGATGCAGTTTTACACCGAGTGGTTCAGAGATTTGGGGCAGGTTGGTGAGGTGGGGGTTCAGGCGAGTCTGTGTGTGCCTGTTTGCTCAGTATCCAGACCCTAAAGAATGATCTGGGCTGTGTCAGTTAGAAAGTAGCAGGCACTCTGTTGATTCTGGAAAGGCGTGGAGTCTTATGGGCAGAGCCCGTGGAGGGACCGGCAGCTGCTTGCAGCGTCCTTGTTAAAGATTACCAGCCTTGATAAAGATTACCAGCCTTGATAGCCCTGAGCTGAAGAAGCTGGCAGAGCTAGCAAGAAAGGCGTAAACAAAAGCAGCCAGCATGGCCCCGCAACTGGGGTCCTGTTGTTTGTGGTTTGGGAAGCCCAGACGTCCGAGGAAATTTTCTTCTGTGGGCATGGTGTACAGCGCCGCTGGATTGTCTGCTACTGTGTTGAAGTTTCAGGTTGCAGAACAGTCACAAATTCATCCCCAGCAAGCCATGTGCTGTCAGAGCTGCCCCTTGGAAGGCATTTGGATCCTGATCCTAGTTTGTGCTTACAAGTGCCATAAATCTTGAAATTGCATGCAATCTTGTAATTTTTTTCTTTCCCTCCTCCCAATTGTCATTACTTACCTGTTTGCTAGAAGGGTTGCTGTGGCTCTGAGGCCTTAAAGGAGAATAGAGAGGAGTCTTTTAAAAGGAGGCTTGGGTATCGTGTGCAGGTACTACTCTGTGTAGGTTCCACCGATGTCTTTTTTTTATGGGTTTCTGATTCCTTTTCCCTCCCACTTACTGGAAGAGATGTAAACAAGTCATCTGTTCCTTCTTTTTCTTTCTCTCTCCAGACTCTGAATCCTCCTCTCCCCCCGCCCCCTCTCCAGGCGGCCACCCCCACGGGCACTGCTGTTGCTGCCGCCGCCGGGATGGGCCCCAGGCCCGCAGCCGGACCCACTGACCAGACCACACACCCGCGGCCACAGCCCCGCCCCAGCGTGTAAGTGCAGGGTCCTTTCTGCCCCCGGACCGAACCCAAATAGAGAGGCAGAGAACAACTTTCTGGGGGGAGCTGGTCCAGACTGGTGTCTTCTACCCAACTGTGTTTGTGATTAGGAGACTAGTGGTCCAAGGATGGGCCTTCTTGGCCTTCCTCTGCAAGTGCTACCCAGGTTTTGTCCCCGCCTTCACCCCCAAGTAAGGATGCGAGGGGACAGGGAGGGCCCCGGGCTGTTGTGCTCTGTCCGTGGTTGGACTTGCTTTGCCTCTGACTCGCAAGTTCAGCGTCTGCCCCGACTGAGCCCAGGACGCAGGTGCCACCCATTGCTGGTTCAGTGTGTGCGGGGAGGCTGTGTGCCGAGCTTCCTGCGGGATTTGGGACCACATGCCCTCGACGAGGCTGCTTCCCAGGTCTCACCAGGGCCATCTGCAGGGCCAGTTTCCCAATGGGCATCTGATGCCCTGCTGCAGGTGTGCAGACGGGGGCGTGGCATCACCCGTGAGTACCGTTTGGCAGGGTCAGCACCTTTCACTGGGAGGGCCGGGGGGAGGTTCGGAGTCAGGCAGCTTCTGCCTTTTCAGAGTGGATGGCCGCCATTCAGTGGAGAGTGATCGAGGCTGCCCACAGATTAAAGGATTCTACTTTCTATTTACTTTTGTACAAAACATTCAAGGCTTCGTGCCAGAGAAGAGTTCTGCGCATCGTGTGGTATGTCTGTTACTCACCTTGAAGTCAGATGCTTTTCCGCTTCTAGGTATGTTGCCATTTATCCTTACACTCCCCGGAAAGAGGACGAGCTGGAGCTGCGGAAGGGGGAGATGTTTCTCGTGTTCGAGCGCTGCCAGGACGGCTGGTTCAAGGGGACATCCATGCACACCAGCAAGATTGGGGTTTTTCCTGGCAATTACGTCGCCCCCATCACGAGGTATGGCTCTGAGCAAGCGGCTTGCTGAGCCCTGAACGCAGAAGCTTTGTCCTTTCCCATGATTTCCAGCCTATCCACAGTTCCTTCTCATGTTACAATTACGTGTTACACAGCCAGCATTTTAGACGTCCCTGCCTGTATTTGCCAAAGTCCCTTCTAATCCTCAAGATTTTAGCTTACTCTTCACATGTGGAGAAGGCAATGGCACCCCACTCTAGTACTCTTGCCTGGAAAATCCCATGGACGGAGGAGCCTGGTAGGCTGCAGTCCATGGGGTCTCTAAGAGTTGGACACGACTGAGCGACTTCACTTCACTTCACATGTGAAATTGTAAATTTCTCCCAATACAGGTGCTGGTTTTAAATTATTTGCTTTAAGTCACATGTGAGAAGACTCTACTACACTGTTTGCAACATTTTTCTGCTAGGAAAGTAGTGCTATTTGATATAAACACAAGTGATGTTATTAATCCTCTTGTTTACATGATGCTTACCTGACACCTGGCGCGCAGAGTTCTGTGTTCCATACATTAACGCTGGGGCCTCAAACAGCTCCCTGGTGTATGTGCTGTTATCCCCACTCAGCAGTGAGCAGGTTGAGGTGGAGAGGTTAAACAGTTTGAGGTCACCTGATGAAGAGGTGCTGAAAGCCAGGTGTGTATTCCAATAGCTTGGTGATTACATCTGAATTCTCACAATTACTTTTTATAATGCAATCAGAAATGAAACTCCTTTAACATGACATGAACCCCTCACCCTCCTCAGGGGAGGGCAGTTTTGCTCCCCAGGGGATGTTGGCAGTGTCTGGACATGCTTCTGATCGTCGTGATGGGGGAGCAAGTGGTACTCGCCGCCCATGTATAGAAACCAGGGATGCATATGTCACCCTGCAGGGCACGGCACAGGCTTCACAGAAGGGAGCTGTCTGGCCCCAAATGTCACCAAGGCTGAGAAACCTCTTCTAGGATAGCAGGAGGCAAGCACTTTGGATGTGTTGATATATACTCTTCACTTTATTTAAGTTTAGTCCCCATTCTGGGCACTGAGGAAGCTTGCTCTGGGATGACCATGATGACCTATGATGGGATCAGTGCTGAGAAAACCCCGGGTTTTGGCCACTGGGCTGTTAATAAATGGTCCAGCTTAATTGTGTTAAATCATTTCTCAAAGCCCTTGACTTTGAATAAGTGGCTGAATGAACTGACATGCTGTCAGATGTCGGTCTCAATCCTCAGGCTGGCTGGCAGCCTAATCCAATGAAGATCACTGTCATTGCAGATGGCAGCAGAACATTAGCTCCAATTAGACTTGCAGATTTTTCATCAGTGTAAACCTTCTTGTCGGTATATGCTAAAATCTACATTCACAGCCCAGAAGATGGTAGCTCCGTCTTCCCTGGTGGGATAAAACAAACAAACAAAAACCACAACAACTAAGGGAGATAAACCAAGCAACAGCCACGTGTCGACTTTCTGAAGAAAGCATTTTCCTAAGACTCAAATACAAACTATCAAAAGTCTCTGGAGAGATGCTTCCTGATGGAAAATTCTCTGTTATTCCTCATGGTAAATAATGAGGTTCGAGTTAATGAAGCCTTCTGCTTGGTAGAAAGTTACTATCTATAGAACTGTTGTTTAAATCAATTTAGAATATTAAAAAGTATGTTACATAAAGCTACACTGAACCTAATTTAATGAAATTCAGCCGGTAAATATTTGTTGAGGGCCAGCTGTGTCGTCGTAACTTCACATGCAGGAAGGGTGGGAAACAACCATTGCACGCTGCCCTGCTGTCAGGGAACTTGTACTGAGTCAGGAGTATTTCACTGGGAATTGACTGAAAACACTCCACATCATGTTTTGTGATCAAGGGTCACAGAGGAAATCCACCTGAAACAGAGGACAGTCCCGAGGTCCTGGGCCTGAGGCCAGGCTGCTCGGGAGGACAGGACTGAAGTGCAGGTGAGAGGGAGGTAGGGTGAAGGGAGCCAGAGGGACATTACAGGAGTGTGTGCGCACGCGTGCCGGTAAACAGGGCAAGTACAGAGAAGCCATACGTGAGCCCAGCTGTGCCAGCCTGGACGCTGTGCTCTGACAGGCCAGAGAGGAAGCGTGCAGGTCCTGAAAGCCCATGGGGAGAGTTACCTCCAGACGGGAGCCGAGCCGAAAAGCTGTGTCACCAGCAGAGTGCTGTGCGATCTTTCTCGCGCTCTGAAGATGTTTCCAGAGCTTTCTCCGCCTCAGGGCTGTTGTTCCTTGAATGTGTTTTTCTTACCTTTGGTCAGATAATTGCATTCCTAAAGTGTTACATCTTTAAGCTCTGCATCATTTTCTTTGGCGTTAGCTGTCCTGTCTCCCTCTTGCTGACGGACTGGGTTTCTGTCTCGGCAGGGCCATGACCAGTGCTTCCCAAGGCAAAGTCCCCATGTTGACGACCGGCCCAGCGAGTCGCGGGGGGGTCCCGGCCAACCCTCCCCCCGCAGGCGGACCTGCCCAGAAGTCCCCGGGGAACGGCGTGGCTGGCGGTCCCGGGGTCCCCACAGCCGTGGTGTCAGCAGCTCATATCCAGACAAGCCCCCAGGCTAAGGTCCTGCTGCACGTGTCTGGACAGATGACCGTCAACCAGGCCCGGAGCGCTGCAAGGACAGGTGGGCGCTGGGCCGCAGCCCCGGGAGAGCAGCCCGAGCAGCCGCAGACCTGGTGCACCAGAGGCTGCGAGGATGTGAAGATGGTCTGAGGGAGCGAGGTGGAATTCTGAGACAGTCTGGCAGTCTGGCAGAGGGAGTGGGACTTTAAGACAGTCTGGCAGAGGGAGTGGGACTTTAAGACAGTCTGGCAGAGGGAGTGGGACTTTAAGACAGTCTGGCAGAGGGAGTGGGACTTTAAGACAGTCTGGCAGAGGGAGTGGGACTTTAAGACAGTCTCACAGAGGACAGTGGGACTTTAAGACAGTCTGACAGAGGGAGATGGAACAAGATAATGAATAACTGAAGCAGGGGCCAGCACAGCCTCAGCACCATCACTGTACATCGGCTCTGTTTCAGATACAGTCAGACCTTAAATAGCTTTGTTATTCCTGAAGTGTTAAAAATGTCCCAGGGGTCTTGGTTAACAGTGATAGAGAAAACGTGTTCAGTTCTGTCAGAAAATCCACAGGAAGGAAGGGAGTTACCGAGAAAAGGGAGAATAGGAAGCAACGCTGGAGCCAGCCTGCTCTGCCCTGCGAGTGTGTGGGGGTGTTGCCTCGGCCAGAGCCCGGGGCCTGCTGCACCCCTGGGTGTTGTCGCCCTGCAGGCGCCTGGCAGACATGGCAGCAGACAGTGTCATGGAACACAGTGGGGCGCTGACCTGGAATCAGGGAGGGGATGATGTCCAGGGCCCCCCGAGGGTCAGAGCATCTAAACCGCTGTGGTTTCTCATCACTGTGACACGCGCAGGGCTCGGTGAGCAACGAGGCTCCAGCTCACACTTTCCTTCTCTCTTCCCTGTCCAGTCTCGGCGCACAGCCAGGAGCGCCCCACGGCGGCCGTGACACCTATCCAGGTTCAGAGCACCCCGGGGCAGCCCCACCACCCCCTGGCGTCGCCGCAGCCCCCTGCCCCACTGGGCCCCCCTGCCCACGCGGCTGCCAGCGGCCTGGGCCGGGTCGGAGGCCCCCTGGCCTGTGCCACAGCCCCAGCGAGCATCCCCGCCGCCTCCCTGGAGCCTGAGCCCAGCGGCCGCCCCGCAACCCTGCTCCCGGGGACACCCACCTCCCCTGACAGCGGCTCGGCAGCCAGGCCAGACAAGGACGGCAAGGTGAGCCCCGGTGGCTGCTGACCCGCTCATGGTGCGGGAGGTGGCGTTCCATTCAGCTCTGGGGCTTGTCCCCTAGCCGCTCACTGCCCTACCCCCTCGCTGCCCTGAACTCCTCCTGGTGAGTGAGCTTTGCTTCTGGTTAACTGTTCTGCAGAAATGCACTTAGGATACAAAGGAGTTGAAACTGTTGATCCAAAGTGTTGCTTGTGGATTCATTGTCCCTGCACTGTATTTGATTATAATGTGTGGATGTGAATAGTTTTTCTCTTGAATTGAGATGTAGGGGAAAATTAATTTCTAATTTGATCTTTCCTATAAAAATCCTTTGGGCCCGAATTTCAAAGAAATTGTAAGTGGGAAGCTATGTTTGAAAGACTGACCTGAGGCTGGGCTGGAGACAGAGGAGTGTGTGGTGGTTGAACACGCACAGAAAGAGCAGCGTGCAGCAGACTCCGGTAATCATGCTGCAGGCGTGACTTCACTCCATGCCCGTGTGCTCCCCCCAGACTGTTCGCCAGCTCTGGGAAGCTGTGGGATCACACCTGCTTCCATGGTCATGTACGTCGCTCTGTTTAAATGACCAGGGAGCCTGTGAGCAGGGCTTTATAAGGAAATAAACCTAACAGCCTACTAAAAAGTTAATATTTAATTGTTGAGTTGACATGAGTGCTTTTGCAAAAGATCGGTATCTGTTCAATGTTTATGATTAACTACATTAAACTTGTACTCCGGCTCACGTGGTCAACCCTGCCAGGATCTTCAGAAAGTAAACTTCCTTTACAGTTTTGATTTGAAGGTTCCAGGACAAGACATCAGGGCCTTGTCTCAGGGAATCAGGCTCTGGAGCCCCAGGCCTCCGAAGGAAGAATTCACAGCATCTGCAGGATGTCTGTGCTAGGGAGAATAACGGCCCCCAAGGAGGTCCATGTCCTGATCTCTGAAATTTGAGAATACATTTCCTTACATTGCAGAAGGGGTCTTACAGATGTGGTTCAATTAAAGGTTTAAAGACGAGTGGATTAGCTGAGTGAGCCCAGTATAAGCAAAGGGATCGTCTAAGTGAGGAAGGAAGATCAGGGCTGGAGGGAGAGACCAGAAGCGTAGAGCAGTGACCTGCTTACCCCGCTCAGTCCCCCTGCTGACAGGTGGCCACTGGCCTCTGCGAGGATGCCTTGTGGCCCTGTGTCCTGCTGTGGAGCATCAGCGCTGTCTTCAGGCAGCTCGAACTCCTGGAAAGTTCCATCAGCACGCACCTGTCTCCCTGTGACTTCAGACCTTCACACTGTGCTTTGAGGGACTGCATAGAAAACGATGGTCTCCTTTCTATGTGATCCCTGCAGGGAGTTCAGGGTTATCTTCTTTTCTTAAAGGCTTCACTCTTGAGGGGTTTTTTTCCCTCATATTCTTCATGTCACAGATTTCTAATTTCCCTTTCTAAGTCTGCTACCTCATTTAATGTTCCCAATTCATTCAAGAGATTGTCCCAATGGCTATAAACTCAGTGACCCATGATTACTGCAAGGAACATCACTTCACCCCCATCCCTCCATCGTCTTGCCAGAACACTCAGAGAGAGCTTGGCGGATGCCTGATGAGATCCAGCTCTCTCGTTCTCCCATCCAAACAGTCCCCCAGTTGCCTCACCATTTCTGCTGTAACCTGTTAGCTCGCATACTTCCTCAGTCTCACTTCCTTTCCTGAGTCAGCCTTTCATCAGATACCCCATTTTAGGGGTGGTCCCCTAAAACCCCATTTCCCAGGTGGTCTGCAAGCGCTCTTGTGGTTGTCTCTGAAAATGAGGACCACACATGCCTTTCTTTGGCCTGTTGAGTTGACCTTGGTCCCAGGTTCACCAGGATCTATCAGAGATGGGCTGTGTTCCAGCTATTAATTTCCTCAGTACGCTGGGGTGGATCAGCCTGCTGGGAGGAGTGGTTTCATCTCCGAATCCCAGTTCCTCCCCCCGTTGCCCTCCTACCAAGGTTTGTTCTTCCTGTCTGGCTGAAAGTGACTCTTCATGCGTCTAAGGACCACCATCCACCCCAGACACCAGATCCATGTCTTTCCTGTTCCCAACAAAACTTTAAAGCAGCACATACCCCACCCCCAGCTTTTTTGGTCATTTGCATTTTTGTAAGTTTAAGTTCATTCTGGCCTTCAGCATCTTGAATTGCCACGGCTATGGTATGTTCCTCTTGGGGGCCCTTCTCCTGATCTTTTCGTGGAGGCCTTTCTGTCACTTCATGGGGCATCACATAAGTGCCTTCATCATCGGGTGCTTCTGCACCTTCACCTGCTGGGGTGTATAGTGTGTGTTGGGAGCCTCTTCCTGGAGAGCCCACCCACTGCTCTTGAAGCTTCAGGATTTCCTTCTGAATTTCAGGCCATGCATATATTTTCTTGTAACTTTTAAAATCAATTCTCACTAATTACTAGAGAAATACAAATCAAAACTACAATGAGGTATTAATATCACCTCACATTGGTCAGAATGGCCATCATCAAAAAGTCTACAAATGAGGAGGCTGGAGTGGGTGTGAAGAAAAGGGAACCCTTGTACACTGCTCCCTAGTGATGACTAGTGCAGAGAACAGTGTGGAGGATCCTTAAAAATCTAAAAATAGTGACTGTGTGACCCAGTAATCCCATTTCTGGGCATATACCAAGAGGAAGCCATAATTCAGAAAGATACGTGCACCCCATTGTTCATAGCAGCACTGTGTACAACAGCCAGGACGTGGAGGCAGCCTAAGTGTCCATCAGCACAGGAGTGGGTCAAGGAGGTGTGGTGCGTGTATACAGTGGACCATCACTCAGTCACACGGAAGAACAAAACGATGCCGTTTGCAGCCGCGTGGATGGATCTAGAGACTGTCATGCTGAGTGAAGAACAGCAGACGCAGAAAGAGCAAGGTCATATGATATTGCTTATGTGTGGAATATAAAAAGATAAAGGGCACACACAAACTTATCTCCAAAGCAGAGCAGACTCATAGATGTGGAAGACAAACGTGGTGAGCAGAGGTAAGAGAGGGAGAGGCAGGTTGGGAGTCGCCTGTGCACACCACTGTAGAAATCCGCGGCTGATCAGAACCTGGCGTGTAGCTCAGGGAACCCTGCTCGCTGTTCTCTCGTGACCTCTATGGGGGAGAGCCCCTGCCCTGTTGCTCGCAGGAGCCATGGGCCGCGTTAGGTAAATGGTGCAGACCGCCTGGGATGATTGATCATCTGATAAATGGTTACCTATATTTCCTTCTGCCAGACTGTCTCTAATTGAACTCTGTTATTATGGATCTCCCCCTCCCCGCTGCCCAAAGGGATATTTTACTGAGTTTGAACAAAGTCAGTATTCAGGAAGAATTCCTCTCCTCAAGGGCTGCTCACAAATCTCCTTCCCTGTTAGTGGACCTTAATAGTCCCAGTTTGCCTAGAGAGCATTCTAAAGGGTTATTTCTCTCAACTGTTGCATTTTCAGACCATGTTTTCAGTCAGAGGACTTGATGACACAGTTGACACATTAGTAAAGCAATTTAAAATGATGATTGTTATTACCTGCACTTGGGCATCAGAAGAATATTGACACTTGGGGTCTGGGCACAGAGGAGAGCCAGCCCTAGATCTGGTTTCCTAGCAGAGCAAAGACCAAAAGGAAAAGACCACAGGACACCAAGATCCACGAGGTGGCTTCTATGGTGTGAGGTTGATGGGAGTAATTCTCATTTATACACTTGCTTGCAAAAAGAGACATAAAGTGTTTCTATTATACTGATGGACTTTTTTTTAATTTTGTAGTTGTTTTTGTTAAAGAATCTGCCTGAATACAGAAGATGCGGATTTGATCCCTGGGTGGGGAAGATCCCCTGGAGAAGGAAATGGCAACCCACTCCAGTATTCTTGCTTGGAGAATCCCATGGACATAGGAGCCTGGCTATAGTCCATGAGGTTGTAAAGAGTCGGACACGACTGTGGAACTAACACTTCACACTTTCAGAGTTGTTTTTTTAATTAAAGAAGTATTTGCACAACAGATATGGTTTGACTTCTATTATTATCAGTTTGTTAAATTTCATCAATGTGGTGACGAGTGCATATGACTTAACCCTTCACCCTGATCAAGACATCATCCCCTTTGAGAGATAAGCCTCAGGTCTATGGCTGTGGAGTAAAATGCTAAAATGCAAGTGGGTTTATGTTAATTGAGTCTAGCATACAGGAATTGAAGATAGAACAGGCAGAATTTCAGGAAATTAAAGCTATCGTCTGAAATTTCCATTTTGTCCTAAAGTGTCTCCTTTGCCTTCACTTTGCCTGGAAAGTGAATTGGTGGGATTTTGGTTTCCCTTCCTTTTTATCTGCTCATCCCACCTCTGTGGAGGTTGGTGTCAAGCACTTGAATGTCCAGAACCAGGGAAGATGCGCGGGTGGGTGGGGGTTGTGCAGAGAGGTGAAGGGCGTTGAGCACACAGCCCCAGGAGCTGGACCGGGAGTCCCAGACAGCCTCAGGGTCCCTTGGAAAGCTCAAATCTGAACTTGAAACTCTACCAACAGAACTGTGTCTCCAACCCATGCACTTTTTTTTTTCTTAGAAAGAGAAAAAGGGGCTATTGAAGCTGCTGTCCGGGGCCTCCACCAAGCGCAAGCCGCGGGGATCACCGCCGGCCTCACCCACGCTGGATGCCGAGCTGGGGGCCGAGCTGTCCTGCGGGCTCCCGGGCGCCCCCTGCGCCTGCCCCGGGCCCTGCGATGCGGACGCCGTGGCCCCTGGCCCCCAGCGCAGGGCCTGCTCCCTGGACTCCGCCCCCGTGGCGCCACCTCCCCGGCAGCCCTGCTCATCCCTGGGCCCCGCGGCCAGTGAGGTGCGGCCCGCCGTGTGTGAGAGGTGGGTTCTCGTCATGGGCGCTGGGAGCCGGCAGGTCTGCGGCACGCGCGGCGTTCCAGGCTCCTTCCTGGGGTCTGCGGCCACAGCTGGCGCTGGCTCCTGTCTCCTTCAGGTGGCGCGCTCCATCTCTGAGGTCCCCTCTGCATCCTCATCCCTTTCCATCATGTCTCCAGAGCTCTCCTCTACGGGGCAGTGGTCACGGCGGCCCTGGTCCCTGCCTTCTCCTGGCTCCTCGTTCACGGCCAGCCAGCCACCCTAGTTTCATCTTTGGCCCTTTTTATCGAAGGCTTATGAACACCACTACCTGCTCGTTGTAAAGCTGCTGGAGTGTTCCATCCCCCAGAGTTCTCTTCGGGTTTTTCCTGAGCCAGAATGTGGCAGAGTTCTCCTGGCCCAACCCCTGCCGACCCAATGACCAGGTTCCGTTACCCTCGGAATAGTGAGCCCTGTGCAGTGACTGTGACCTCAAGTCACCTTTACAGACAGGAGCTGTCCTGTCTGTTTCACCACTGGGGCTCTCCGAGCATGTTAGCAGAGAAAATCTACTTAATAAGACAGAAACCTGTTAGGAAAAAAATAAAGCCGATCCGAGAGCAAAAAACCAAAACCAAAAACCTGCTCGGATCATATGAATTAAAAATGCAGCATGGTGTGCTGCCTGAGAAGACGGCATGAAGCACCCTGAAACTAGAGGACTGTTTTCCCATAACGTTAGCACAAGTATGTAAGCATTGCTGGAGGAGGTGCCGTCTGTCTCTGCAAGCTCGGGTCCCTCTGTCCCTGAGTCTCACATGGCACGTTTCTCATCTGTGGAGGTGTCGCCTTTGGGGCAGCATTTTCTGTTAGTGATTCAAGATCTTACTGTCAGGTGTTACACTTGACGATGACTTAAATCCACCTGAACGCTGTATTTCAGATGAACACTCATACCCACCGAAACCTGAGGCCTGCATTCAGACAGTTCGGGGGGCTTGCTTTATTACCCAGAAGTAACTCAGGAAAGAATTAATCAAACCATCTATGTGCCTTAAATACAAAGTCCACCATTTGCTGTGCACGTTTATGGGGACACAAGATAATTCTGTGTAGTTCTGACCCTTCTCAAACCAGTTTTGAAAAGAGACGTTACCCTGAAAAGTGTTTCTGCCTCACCCGTAAAACATTCTGTCTTTCCCCTCGTCCACTGGGCTCTTAGCCAGGCTTTGAGATTTTGCCCCAAGCTCACGTCACCCTTCATTCCAAGAGCCCTGCTCTTTCCTGTGGTGTTTCTTGGCTCTCCAGGGCGGGCGCCTGTGCCCCTGGACCAGTCCAGTGGCTCGTTTCCTCTCTCTGGGCCACAGAGGCCGTTCCTCGCACCCGACCCTGAAGTGCAAGTCCCTCTGCAAGCCGAGCCTCCCGCTCCCCTGTCATTGGTGGTGTCCCTGTGTCTGCCTGGGGGGCCGCTTCACTGTACCAGAGCCCCCACCAGGCTCTCCCGCCCCCCGCCCCCAGCACTGGCTCTTTCCAGAGGCCAGTCTCCAAGCTTCTGCAGCCCAGCCCGGCTTACAGAGGGGCGCCTTGCTCACAGCGGGTCACCTTGATTGCAGAAGGCTCCCACAGTCCAGAGCATCTCAACAGGAGGGGCCGTGGGCGGCTCCCCCTCCAGACAAGGAGCAGGCAGGTTTCCTGCTGATCACGTGGGCAGGGCACACAGGGATCCTCTGCTGGGTATGTTATGGAAGCATTTCCATTTTTACAAGTGGGAAAGTGGTCTTTGGAGAGAAGTTCTGCCCTGCATTTATATTTTTATAATCCACGTGCTCAGTGGGATATTGAATATAATAGCCAGCCTTACCAGCTTCTCACAGCCTTTTTGCCATCCTACAGTGATGGTGATGTTATGTGTCTAACTCAGCTGCTTAGGTCTGCCTGACTATAGACACAACAGGAAAAATGTGTGGAAGCGAATAGCATAGGAAAACAGTCTTATTATCCTGTTATCTTACCCACTGGGAAGGAAATTTTTTGGTTACTCAAAAACTACCAAGGATGTATTTTAGGGATTACCTCTTTTGGGATTTTAAAAATTTCAGCCTAAGAAAAAGTATTTCATGCTAAAAATGCAGGGAAGGTTAGCTTTCACATCAGTCTAATTTAGGAAGCATTTCAGGATCTTAGCGTCCTCAAATCACAGTCTAAATGTCACGACTCCTGCCCCCACAAAGTGCGAGAGCGTGGGGCTCTTCTGGTAGAATTTTTCCTTCTAGAGTTCCACAGAAATATTTTTAATGTCTAATATCAGTGTAGTATGAGATAGGATTCATCTGCAGATGAGAGTGACAACAGGCATAAAATTTCCTCTCAAAGTGGGACCCTGCCCCGTAAATCCCAAGGGGGAGAAAGCAGCTCTGCTCTCTTCTCACACTGTGAGGAGGGAGGGAGCCGCCTGGAGGTGTGTGGACAGATCTGGGGTCAGCTGAGCCTGTTCTCTGAGGACCAGAAGGAATCTTTTGTGTTTGTGAGAGAGACTGAGGAAAACAAGCAAGAAATGCTGTATGCTGGGGGTGGAATAAAATTGATGACAGCGGAGATAATAAAGCAGATATTGCAGGCTCTATTTTGGAAGGACTGAGGAAAAATAATTAGGAAATTGCAAAGAGAACATAGAAATAAAATATTTCAGAAGGAATGGCAAATAAAAGAAAGTATGTGTGACAGTTTTTTCCCTACAAAAAGAAATTGCAGATAAAGGAGACACAGCAAATCATCTCCGTATATTTTTAAGTTTAGGATTTAAACTGTCCTAAAGTTTAAACTGCTAAATTGGAAAAGGACCTCTGATCTTTGATCAGGAACCATACCAAAAACATACAAATTGGACAGAGATAGATTTATAGAAAGGCAGCTGGGCTTAAACAGAATGACTAATTTGAGGCTGTGACATGAACGCACTGGATGAAGCAGTGAGAGTCAGTCACTCAGACTTCAAGCAAACTACAAAGTAGCAAGTTTCGTTTTGCTAGTGACATACTAGGAGCAGAGGTCACCCACCCAGACCAGGACAGTGGGCACCCTGCCCCCCAGAGCCTGGGGACTCGACTTGGGCTAAATCAGGAGGGATTAGAAACAAAAAGGCGTGAACTACAGAAGACACGGGAAAGACCAAAAAAATTAAGGAAGTGGAAAATATGTGCTGATGAAAGACTAGGAGCGCCCCTCTAAGCAGAAGGCAGAATAGCTGAGCCTGGGCCGAAGGACTGCCCCGGGGTGTCCGTGGAGCCTCTTTACACAGCAGGCATCTCTCTCTTGCATTCCACCTTGGTGGTCATCCGCCAAGCCTCAGTGTCCCACGGGAGGCTGAGGCCCGCTCAGGGTCGCCCTTGTGGCCTCTTGTCACTCCCGGCTTTGTCCGAAAGGAGCAGGAGGCGCCTCCCAACAGCCAGGAGCCACGCGGCTTCCAGTGGTTTCTCCTCCTTTCCTCCCTGCTCCCCTGTCTTTCCTTCTTTCCTTTCTCCTTTCTTTCAGCTTCCCATTAATTTTCTGAAGAATTTGGCTGGCTGGCTGTGCCAGGCCTCGGTTGCGGCCTGTGGGATTAGTTCCCTAACCGGAGGTTGAACCCTGGCCGGTCTCCTGCACTGGGAGTGGGGAGTCTTAGCCACTGGACCACCAGGGAAGTCCCTTCATTAATTTGTAAATTCATTTGTCTTTTTTTAAATTGGGGTAAAATGTCCATAAAATTTGCCTTTTTTTTTTTTCAGGTATACGGTTCAGTAGCATTAAGTACATTCACGTTGTAGTATAACCATCACTGCCATCCGTTTCTAGAGCTTTTCATCACCCTGTTAAACACTAGCTTCCCATTCCCGCCCTGCCCAGCCCCTGACAAACCCCGTTCTAGTTTCTGTCTCTCTGGGTCTGACTAGTCTCCACACCTCATAGGTGGAATTGTATACGACTGATTTCACTTAGCATAATATTTTGAAGGTTCATCCATGTGGTAACCTCTGTCAGAATTTCATTCCTTTTTGAGGAACGTTGTACATTTGGAAAACTCACTTTGCTACACAATTACACCTGTCCTTCTGTCATTGGACGTTCTCATGCAGGATGGCCTTGTGTACTGTGCTGAGGACCATGCCCGGGGCTTCTGGGCTCTGGTCAGGGATGAGGTTTCCTTCAGTCGTGCGTCAGATGGAGCACGGCTTTGAGAGCCTGTTGGGCGTGCGTGGGCTCGGGTTTGTCCGAGGGAGCCCCCAGCGGACCGTGTGAGCCCAGGCCTGGGGCTGGGGGCAGAGGCCGCAGCCGGGGCAGTGTGCAGGTGCACGGCTGTGTGTGCACGTGCATGGGGATAGCCATCAGCTGTGGCTGCAGAGAGACTGAGGCCCTTGAGCGCCTCACACGCCAGACTGGGGAGCAACCTTGCTCCGAGGAGTTGGGAAGCTGTAAGGAAAATTGAGCGAGAAATAGCTGCAAATCGAATTGGCTGTTAAGAAAGTTAGTATTTTGATCATGTGCAGAATGGAGTGGGGATGGGAGGAGATTGGGGGATGGGAGGAGATTGGATGCTGGGAGGACAGGCAGGTTCTTTGCTCAGCTGGGAGGGGGCAGAGCAGCGAGCCTGGGGTGCAGACGTGGAAGGTGGACCCCAGGTCCGTGGCGGCTGTGGGAGAGAAGTATGGCGCCTGAGGCTCAGGACGCCCCAGAATCCCTGCTCAGAACACCCGAGGGGTCGTGGCTGGGCAACAGGTGTTGGGCTCTGTGGCTGCACTCACGTTGCCGGGGTCAGTGAGCATGGACTGGGCAAAGCTGCTCCATGCCTGGGATGGTGGCCCGCTGTGCCCAGCATTGGTCTTGACCATGCCTGTTGGGAATCTGTGTGCACACCACTCTTCAGGCCAGGGTCAGGATCTGAGCAGAGTCTCTGCTGCAGCTGGTGGTCTCCCTATGGTCCAAGGTCATGGCTTTCGCTCCTCTCAGTGCAGGCGGCTTGTCGCTCAGCCATGAAAACCCTCTCCCCTGGGGACTCGGTAGGAAGATTGTGGTCTTAGCTCAGCAGCAGTTCTAGTTCAGAAAATGTTTGACAGAGTTGGTTTAGTGCATTTTCTAAAATGCAAATGTTAATCTAGTCACTTTCTTCAAGAACTGTTTTTGTTCCATTTCACCTTTAAGGCAACTCACGGAGGACCAGGGGCGATACGTTTCATCAGAGATTGGCTCTGAATATGATGAGTTACTTGTGTGCGTCTTTCTGTAATTATGGAGCTTTGCTCAGATGTTAACCTGCCCCAGATGGCAGCATGGCTTTTCACAGGCTCTTCAGCCTGTTGGTGTTGGACTTGAGACATCCTCTCATCTGGATCCCTTCCTCCAGAGTAGCCCACGATGAACTCATTCATCCTGCTTCGCAAGCTGTCAGAGAAGGGCTTCCAGAACCCTGGCTCTGCCGTTCTAGAGTTGGTCAGGGGTGTGGCCAGGCTATACCTCCTGGAAGCAGCAGGCGCCCGCCCGCTCTTACCTGAGACGCACGGTCGTGGTGGGACCTGGCGCTCAGGGTGTGAACTCCGTGACACGTGCTGAGTGTATCATACCCATGTTGTCCCCACTGGTAACACCTGTGTGGGTCACGGCCGTCCTAGTGCAAAGATGAGGAAACTGAGGCTCAAGCAAAAGCTGCTCTGAGCATGAGCCCCAGGCCCGCTTCTCACAGAGGCCAGGCCCACTTCTCACAGAGGCCAGCCTCCCCACCCATCCACAGGCTCGCTCACAGCCTGCCCTGTTTCTGGTCTCCCGGGACCTGTCACGAATGGCCAGGCAGCCTCTGTGCTGCGCTTCTGCTCCACATCCGCAGCGGTAACTTGGTTCCCTAGCCCAGAGTCACCCAGGAATGGTCCAGGCGGCCGCTGGGCCTGTGTAGAGATGCCTTTATTAATCGAGTCATAGCCTGAGGCTCTTGCTCAGGTCCTCGCATGAATGGATTCTGGTCCTTATGTGTTGGATGCTGGTAAAACCAGTGATCCTCCAGAAGGACTGTGCTCCGATGGGTTTCATGAGGGTTGGGGCAGTTCTGTAGACCAGTTCTGACAACCATTTTTTCAGCCATGACATTCTCTATGTGCTGTTAAGAGTGAGTCCTAGGAGACTAGAAGTTCGTTTTCCGACTTTAAGAACCAAATAAGAGTAGAAACTCAGCCCCTTTTATAGCTCTGTTGTTGTTTAGCTGCTAAGTTGCGTCCAGCTCTTGGCAGCCCTATAGACTGTACCCCCGGGCTCCTCTGTCCACGGGATTCCCAGGCAAGAATAGTGGAGTGGGTCGCTGTTTAGGCTCTAAGTTCATTTTCTGACTTTGAGAACCATATGAGAGTAGAAACTCAACCTCTTGTATAGCTTAATACTCATTGATTAGCATCAGCCAGTGAGAGAGGTGTGTCCACATTTATAAGTTATCCTTTGCTGTGTCACACATTACTCCAGAACTCGGAAGTTTAAATTAAGTGTGAACGTGTATCGTTTCACAATTCTGGAGGTTAGGACTTTGGGGATGACTTACAGGGATGGTCCTGGCTTCGGGCATTTTTTGAGGTTAGTGTCCAGACGTCCACCTGAGCTGCAGTCTTGTGACGGCTTGAGTGGGGAGAGAAGACCCCTTCCAGGTGGCTGCTCGCATCGCCACCAACTTTTGAAAGAGACTTCTGTTACCTGGACTGCACGTCTGTGCATGGGACGGGGGGATGAGTCTCCTGGCAGCATGGGTGGTTTCCTGGAGACAGCAGAGTGGGGGCCACCGCACACCCATTAGGACCCTGCCTCAGCACCCCAGATCATCATTTGTGAAGGCTTCTGTTGGTCACACAGGTGGGCAGAGACCACACAGGGTGAAACACAGCTCATCTCCTCCTGGCTTCTGTGAATCTTCAGCATAATTTTGCAGAAGGAAACAAGCCTGGAAGCAGGGGGTAGATGACCTTACACCAGCCAGGCTTCAGGAATCTTGAAATGATAATTACACCTTTTCCCAGTGATCCCTGAGTTGAGAATGCTCAGAGGAGCAGACCATATGTCTGACCCGTGGCGATCAGAGCCCCAGCCTCCTGGCTGGCAGTAGATTGAGCAGGTGGCCCCAGTCCCTGCTCCTGTGTGAACCTTGGGACAAGCTGCCCCAGGAAGAGTTGGGTGTGTAAGGAAGAGTTTCCCTGGAGTCCAGCCTCATCCAGCTCAGTCCTTGGTCGCTCGTGGACCTTTATGCGCGTTCAAGCGCTGGTCACAGCAGGTCTCTACTCAACAGGGGACGGTAGCGGTGTGAGTCATTTTACCAACATTGTAGGCAGATTTGTGCTTTGTCAACATTTGAGGCATGCACACTGGCTTTTCCTGACTCTGAGCAGCTGTAACTGAGCCCCCACCTTCTCTCTCCCTCCCCCACTTCTACTGTCATCATTCTATCACCTGCCTCTGCCTCCCTCCTCTCCTCCCTCCATCATCTATCATCCTCTCCCTGCCTCCTCCCGCCCCTCATCATCTGTCTATTCCCCCATCTATCTACCATCCGTCTATTCCCCCATCTATCATCTATTCCCCCATCTATCTTTCATTTATTCTCTCCCCCCGCCATGTATCATCTCTCTCTCTGTTCTGTCACCCATCTATCTACCATCTGTCTATTCCCCCATCTATCTATTCCCCCATCTATCTTTTATTTATTCTCTCCCCCCCCCACGTATCATCTCTCTATCTGTTGTCTCACCCACCTGTCTACCCACTATCTATCTCATTCATCTATCTACCATCTATCTATTGCCCCGTCTATCTGCCATCTATCATCTATTTCCCCAGCTACCTTTCATTTATTCTGTCTACCTGCATGTGTCATCTCTCTATCTGTTCTGTCACCCAACTATCTACCATCTATCTATCCCCCTGTCTATCTACCATCTATCTGTTCTCTGCCCCATCTATCATCAACCCCCCCATCGGTCCATCATGTCCTCTCTCTCCCCGCATGGACCATCTCTCTGCTCTGAAGCCTGACTGTCTGTCCTCTCCGCCCCGCAGACACCGGGTGGTGGTCTCCTACCCGCCGCAGAGCGAGGCAGAGCTGGAGCTCAAGGAGGGCGACATCGTGTTCGTGCACAGGAAGCGGGAGGACGGCTGGTTCAAGGGCACGCTGCAGCGGAATGGGAAGACGGGGCTCTTCCCCGGGAGCTTTGTGGAGAACATCTGAGGCGCGCCGGGGCGGGACCGCATCTGTCTCCACCTCCCTCCGATGGCCCGCGGGCCCTTTGCCCCTTTCCGTGGCCACCTGCCACCTGCCTTGTGCTGTCTGATTCACTCCACAGAGGCACCTAGCTGAGACGGACAACTGTTTACAAGGCTTAACTAATTTATTTGCTTTTTTAAACTTGAATTTTTCCTGTAATAGATGAATTCTTTGGATTATGATTTTGAGAAGTTATTAATTTATGGAACAGTAGCCGATGAGAGGCTGGGTGACCCCCTGTTGGGAGCAGCAGAGTCCCCTCGGTGCAGAAGACGCCCCAGGGCTTCCCTGCTGGCTCACTGGTAAAGGCGGCCCCACCCTCCTGGGCTCACTGCCCTGCTTTGGGTCACAGATGCCGGGTGTCGCGCTTGGCCGCCTCTCTGGGAAGTCAGCGCCCGCAAGTGAACCCAGGGCACTGAGGGAGTCCCCGGGTGGCGAGGTGGGAACCTGTCTTTCTGGTTGGGCCTGGAGTCACCCCAGAACCCAGTCCTCACTTTAACTTTGAGGGTCTCCGATTTCCTAGGAGGAGGGATAAAGCACAACCCTTGGGGAGCTCATGTTCAGAGATAGGTTTAGTTGCATTAGAAGCGGCTCGGCTCCGTGGCTGGACGTTGAAGAACCGCGGGTGCGCCCTGTCTGCGGACAGCCCTGCATGTCCCCGCGCTGTCACCGCAGGCGGCCTCTGTGTGTGGTGCAGAAGGGCCCCCTGAGGGCCACAGGCGTTCATGGGGCGCTTCCCATGCCCCCCACCCCCGGGTGGGGCTGGACCCCACACAGAGGCCGCAGGGGACGCTGCAGCCATGCGGCTGGGCCGGGCAGCCCCTGGTCTGCCCAGGTCACTCTGAGCTCCTGTCCCCAGGCGGCTGAGGCCAGGGCTGCGCCCCTTGCAGGACACGGGTGGGCTGAGCGCACAACGCCCACCGCCCCCACCCCAGCCAGCCACACAGCCTGGCTCAGGGCCCCTCGCAGCCGAGCCAGGGAAGGGGCCTGGCAGCGGCAGAGGCTGCGACCACAGTTTTCTCGTGGGAAAGCAGAAACAAAACCCTTCTCATTTTTTACCTTTAAGAATTACAACTAGGGAGTCAAAACATGAACTGAGAGTCTTCTTGCAAGCAGTTTTATGGTCTTAAAGAGATATATTATGTGGCTGAAATGAAATCATTCCTAAATTAACCATTTTTTATAAGACACTGTACATTATGTTCCTGTGTATTGAATTTTTAAAAAAAAATACTGGGATATTCATGTAATATATAAAGTTTTGGTGAAATGAACTTCAGCTAGAAAAAAAAAGCTGCCATCAGCTTTCATCTGTGTAAGTTGACACCAATGTGTCATAATATTCTTTATTTTGGGAAATTAGTGTATTTTATAAAAATTTTAAGAAGTAAAAAGACTACTACCGGATAAGATCACTTTTTTACCTGTCTTTTCTCCATATTTTAAGCTATGTGATTGAAGTACCTCTGTTAATAGATTCCTGGTATGAAGTTGGTTAAAATTTCATCTGTTAATAGATCACTTAGATAATATAATGTATGGGTTTTCTGTTGGTTTTTGGGCACAGTAGATGGAGACTTTGTAACAAGGGCTTGTTACTTGGTGATAGGGTAATGATAAAATTGCGGTTTATCATTCCTTTTCATGTTAATAATTTGAAGACTGGAGAAAAGGTTCAAGATTAAAATTTGATGTTCAAACTTTATGACTCCTTTACTTTTTTCTTTTCTTTTTTAAACATGGGACACATTTGACATCATTTCTACTTCATAAAAATTCTTTGCCTGTGCCTCAGACAAATGGCATCTACAATAGTCAGCTTGCTGGCTGTGATACACTTTAGCCCTCCAGTCCGCAAAACTTGTTAGTTATAAAGTCCTCTTAAAAGAGTGTGTGGCATCTCACCAGGGAGTGGGTGACATGCCTGCTGCCCTTTCCCCATTCATGGTGGCTAAATCATCTGGTGACTCCACAAGTCTTTCTTAGCTACAGGAGTACCAGACCTAAACCATCTGTAGCACAGCCTGTAGGTCTCAGCAAGGCTTGGGAGCATCGTCTGCAGACTCACTGTGACTTTAATCTTCCCTGGAAACCAAAAAGTCCTAAGTTTAAAAAGACTGTGTCTACCAGGTTAAAAATATATGTATTTTCCTAATTTAGTTTTTGTCATTGAGTTGCTAAGTTGTGTCCAATTCTTTGTGACTCTGTGGACTGTAGTCTGCCAGGCTCCTCTCTCCATGGGATTCTCCAGGCAAAAATACTGTAGTGGGTTGCCGTTTCCTTCTCCAGGGGATCTTCCCAACCCAGGGCTCAAACCTGTTTATCTAACATCTCCTGCATTGGCAAATGGGTTCTTTACCACTAGTGCCACTTTAGTTTTGCCAAAAGTGACCTCTGTAACCAGGCGAGCGAGACAGTGATGACTTAGTTTCCTCCTGTTTCTGCCCCGTCTCCTCCCTGGGTTACAGTGAGGAGGAGGAAACCACAGCCCTGTATTGAAAAGTGCTATTTTAACATGTGCATTGTGTTCACCTCTGCTTTCAAATATTTCACTTTATTCTCCCAGAGTGTACGCTTGTAGCCTTGGCTGAGTCTGACTGCGTTTAGAAGGAGCAAGTGAAGGTGGTATTTCCCACTGTGGTGCATGTACATTTCTGTTCCTAGTGAGAACAGGGCAGTGTTTTCATCCTCCAAAACTCAGTTAATTATTTCAATCAGAGCTCTTTACAATATTAGGGTTCAAGTTTAGGAAATGCTTTTAATAGCTATTACAATAAGTTGTAAGCTCATTGTGTGTATCTGTGTGAAATTTTAAAAAATGGTTTCAAGCCAGTAAAATGACGCTCTTATTAAGGTAGCAGCCTATTCACATTGTTCCTTTACAAGAAGAGTGTGCCAGCCCACCAGAATGGAGGGGATGTCCCATAAGGGCTGCCATGTCCAGGCTGAGCGTGGGCTTGCCTTTCCTTGACTCCTGTGAACACCTGGCTCTGCCCCTGGTGGTGAATTGCACCAGAGACTGGAAGAAGCTAATAGGCGGCTGGTGTGAACTGTGGATGTCTGAAAATGCCCTCTTTCTGGTTTACAAGGGAATATTTATTTTACTTCTCTTGTCTTTCCTGCTAATAACTTTTATTAACTTTCTGACATGGCTATTTAGGTTTCTATCTTTAAAACAGCACCGTGATCTCACTTGATGCCAAGTCTTGTTCTGCAGCCATCCTGACCCCAGGAGCCCTGATGGCGAGACCTGCAGGTGGCAGTGGTCTTCGAGCCACCATCCTGTACCATGGTTACAGGTCAGACGACCTGGGTGATGTTCTAAGGCCCAGAGGTGGCAGAGTCATCAGTGAGCCAGCAGCCACTGCAGTTGACCACAGCTTAGAGGAGAAATTCGGTTCCAGAAGGCTTTGACCTTAAGTTGAATCTTTCTGTGTCTGAGACCTTTGTAAAAGCACTAGAAGAAACCAGGGGAGACTTCCAAGTGACACCTTCCTAAGTGTGACTTAAAAGCCAGAAGCCATAAAAAAAGAAAACAGGGATAACTTCAACTACAGAAAACACACGTACATGACAAAGACCTTAAAGTCAACAGAAAACATACGTACATGACAAAGACCTTAAAGTCAACAGAAAACACACGTACATGACAAAGACCTTAAAGTCAACAGAAAACACACGTACATGACAAAGACCTTAAAGTCAACAGAAAACATACGTACATGACAAAGACCTTAAAGTCAACAGAAAACACACGTACATGACAAAGACCTTAAAGTCAACAGAAAACACACGTACATGACAAAGACCTTAAAGTCAACAGAAAACATACGTACATGACAAAGACCTTAAAGTCAACAGAAAACATACGTACATGACAAAGACCTTAAAGTCAACAGAAAACATACGTACATGACAAAGACCTTAAAGTCAACAGAAAACAGTAGGAAAAAATTTGTAACTCTTACAGTAGACAAGGATTTCTTCATATATAAAGAGCTCATGGGACTCAATAAAAGTGAAAATCCAAAAGTAAAATTGACCAAGAATGTGTGACAGAAACTGCCAATTGCCTCTCAATATCTGCTGCCCTCTTCCCCCTTATTAACTGATTCCTGGGCGATGCCCTCAGCTGAAAAGCCCCAGGTTCCAGTCTCCTTCAGATACAGCCACGTTACTGAGTTATTGCTGAGATGGAAGCAAAGTGTCAAAGGGAACTTCTGTGCAGCTTCTAAAAGGGAGGAGGCACACACCCTCTGGCTGTTTTTTTTTCCTTCTTGCAGCCTGCAGTGTGGACGTGATGGCTGGTGCTCCAGCAGCTATCTTGAGTCATGAGTGACCTTTAAGGTGGAAGCCACATTTTAGCATGATGGGGGAGAAAGAGAAAGAAAGAAGATACTTGAGATCCTTATAACCTTCCAGCCTTCAGGCCAACCTTAACTACTCATCTTCAGATATGGTCTATGTGAGAATAAACCCCATGACTGTGGTCTGATCTCTCACCCACAGTCAACCTGATGCCAGTATTACCTAGCGGTTCCTCAAAAAATGAATGCAAATATACTGAAAGATGATCTACCTCATGAAGATGTGCATGAGCAACTATGAAATATCTTTCATCTATGAAGTCAGAAACTAAAAAAATTAGAAATTAGAAGCACGTATTTTGCTGATGAAATGTGATTTGATTAAAAAAAAAAAAAATCTAGGGAGAGCAGTCTGGAAAATATCAAAATTGCAAATGCATTCACCCGTTCTGAGAATCTGTTTTCCAGAGGCCCTTATTTGTCAAGTGTAAAATGCCAGTACCTTGTCGATCACAGCAAAATATTGGCAACAACCCGCGTCTAGCAATTGGACACTGGTGATGTTTGTGCAGAGAAAGCTGCACAGCCGTCACGAGCTATGCAGGTAGGGGACAAAGATGAGGCAGAATGCTCCACCGCTTAGTGAGAAGTCAGGAG